TAAAATAAAAAAAGTTAGCTCAAGTGATAGGTAGCATTGTTCAAGTCTCCTTAAATTCCTTTGTGATTTTCTGTCTACATGTCCTAACAAATACTCCTCAAAAGAGTGTTAAAAACATAGAACTCCCCTTTGGGGTCTATCAGATTTTTGCTTTGTATATTTTGAAGCTCTGTTAGTAGGTATAAATAGATTTAGGATTGTTACAGCCTTTTGATGAAATGATTTATCATTATAAAATGTCTCTAAATCCCTGATTATTTTCCTTGTGCTGAAGTCTACTTTGTTGGATATTAATATAGCCACTCTTCCTTTTGATTAATTTTTGAAAGGTATATATTTTTTCTGTCCTGTTACCTTCAAATTATTTGTATCTTTATATTCAAAGTAGGGCTCTTGGAAAAACTTGAGTCTTGTTTTTATATATGTGTAATCTGAAATGCTTTGGATTTCAGTAAGGATTTAGCTAGGTTTAAATCTACCATCTTGGTATTCATCTGATCCATTGCTTCTTTTGCCTTCTGTTTTTTTTTTTTTAATTGAGTTTTTGTTTATTTGTTTTTTAATACTAGTTAATCTCCACTACAGGCTTATTAACTATCTCTCTTTATTTTTCTAATGGCTCTTCTATGACAAGTGTCAACAACAAAAACATTCTATGAAGTCCCAGATCATAAATTTTAGGACTTGTAGGCCATGGAGTCTCTGTCGCCACTATTCAACTTTGCCATTGTAATATCAAAAAGTATAGGCATACGAATGAATGTGGCCATGCCACATTAAAACTTAATTTGTGGCACCAGCAGGTGGCATGGTGGTTAAGGCACTGGACAATCCCACATAGCTGGCCACGGTTTGAATCCCAGACCTGGTGGTTTGCTTTCTCACTTTGTGTGTGTCTCTGTGTGTGTGTGTCTGTCTCCGTCAAATTAAAAATAAATGAATGAATAAAAATAATTATTTAAAAACTTAATTTGCCAAAGTAATAAATAAAATATTTTATAAATGTAAAAATAAAAATGAGCAGAGTGAAACTAGATTTAATTTAGAGGTCCTAGTTTGCCAATCCATGCTCTAAGTTTATAACCTCTATCTTTAACATACCAAAATCTATCTATCTTCAAATTATATTTTACAACCCCATCTATTGTATAAGCACTTGACACAGTATATGGTTATTTCCCTATTCCTATCCTTTTTATTATTGTTGTCATATACTCTATTTCCACTCTAAACCCCACATTACATTATTATTTTTGCTTCAAACAATCAATCACCTTAAAAGATATTTTTTTAAACAAGAAAAAAAAAAGTATTTAAATTTACACTTTCCGGCATTCTTCATTTCTTTTGAGTAAACCCATATTTCTATCTGGTGCCATTTTCTTTCAGTCTTCAACATTTCTTAAGGTACAAGTCTATTAGTCAAAAATTCCCAGCTTTTTATTTTTATTTTGACTTCACTTTTAAAAGATACTTCACTGAATAAGAATTCTAGGTTGACATTTCCCCCTACTACTTCAAAGATGTCTCTGTATTGACTTCTGACTGGCATAGTTGTTTACAAGTCTTAGGTATCTTTTTCTCTTTATCTTGGGTTTTTAACAATTTGATTATGATGTGCTTTGATGTGACTTTCTTCATGTTTATTTTACTCAGGCTTTGTTGAGCTTCATAGGTTTGTGAAATTAATTTTTTATTACATTTGGAAATTTTGGAACCATTTATTCAAATATTTCCATTGCCTCCCTCTCTCTTCTTTCTGCAACTCCACATATACGTATGTTAAACCAATTGATATTTCCCCATAAGTAAATGAGTCCCATTTGGTTCCTTTTTATATTGTTCCATCTTTCCTCATTATAGTTATCTATTCCTTTAAGTCCATAAACATATATAGTATAGCTGTTTTTAAAGTCTTGTAAAGGCCTCTGCTAATTCCACCATCACTGTCATTTCTGGGTTCGTTCCTACTTTTGGAACTTCTTTCTGGTAAAGGGTCCATTTCTTCACAGGTCTTGTAATACTTGGCTAGATGCTGGACACTAGAACGTTACATTGTTAAGTATCTGGATTTTGTTGTCTTCCTTCAAAGAATGCTGAGTTCAGTTCTGGCAGGCAGGGAAGTTACTTGCATATTAGATGGCTCCTTTTCAGGTTTCTTTTCAAACATTGTTAGCAAGCATTTCAGGTAATATTTACTCTAGAGCAGGGGTTGGCAAACTTTTTCTGTAAAGGGCCAGGTGGTAAATATTTTAGGCTTTGTAGACCTAAACTATTCAACTCAATTACGTAAACAAATGAACATGGCTAAATGACAATAAAATTTTATTTTTAAAAAGAGGTGGCAGGTTGGATTTGTCCCATTGGTTATAGTTTGCCAACTCTCTTCCCTTGTGTTAGTTTAGCTGTTACTAAAGACCCTACTAAGGTCTCCAGTGGTAGTTCAGGATGTTCATTGTGGTCTTTTCACTCTGGTTAGTCAGAAATCAAACACCTTCCAGCCCTATGTGAGCTCTGGTTACTGTGCACTTCACAGCTCTGCAGTTTTTCTTTCTTTAGTAGTGTTTTTCACCCGTCCTCATGGGCTCACCCCCCACATAAGCGTACCTCAGTAATGGGGCGAAACTCAAGAGGACCCCAACATATACTTATGCAACTCTGCCTCTCAGATTTCAACAACTAAGCCTCCTGAATTCTTTTCTCTGTCTCCTTCACTCAGTCAGGCCACCAGGCTCTGCTTGGTTTCCCTGTCCTTGTGCTGTACTGTAGCATGAAAAATGTCACCAGACAGAAAGCTGAGGGACAAAAGAAATGGAACTAAGTATATCTATCATCTACCTGAACAGTAAGTCCAGTGGAGGAGAGATGTAGCAAGATGATTCCAAACCAAGAGACCTGTGAGGCCCCGGCTTGCCATTCCTTGACAGAGTCCACCCAGCGCAGAAAGGTATGGCCCACGCCTGCCACCTGTTCATTTTGGCTGCACTACCCTGGCAGTAATGCCTTGGATGCCAAGGCACTGTGGTGGTTTAGCAAAAAGCTAACATTTTCCGGTAAGTCTAATTATCTCGCTTACACCACCATTTTGAATCCTATTTTAACTTCTTCGACAGGCCCAAAGCTGATCCTAATATCCAGCAGAATTGGTCTCCAATTAAAAAAAAAAAAAAAAAAAAAAGCTCTTTATAAAAAAAAAAAAAA